AAAGAAGCAAGAAAAAAAGAGAGAAAAAAAAAGAAGGGGATGGCTGCCAGCACGTGGACCACCGGACGCCTCGGTTGCCGCGCACTCCTACCCACACCTCCCAGCTTCCGCGCCCTCCAACCCGCGCGCCATCCAAGGGCGTCAGCCCCACATGGGCCACCTTTTTCCGCATTGGGGCCCGCGCGCTGCCAAAAAAAAAAAAAGAAAAAAACAAAAGAAAGAAAGAGGCAGCAACACGTGGAGATCATCATATCTCCAAGCAACCCCCTCTCTCTTCCATAAATGCAAGTCACATCATATCTCTCTCTTCCAACCATTCCATCACCCACCCCCCTCCATCCGCGCGGTAACCCCCTACCCAGTATCAAAGCGCGCCCACCTCCTCCTACTCATCTACTGGCGCACAATTTGCACTGCGCACCACCAAATTGCTTGCCGATTTCACATCAGTTCATCAAATTGCGCGAGAATTTCAACGCGGTCGACCAACTTGGGCGAGCTCTCTATCGTGCCTCACCAAATCGCGCGTGCTCTCTAACGGATAAATAAAAGATTATTATTTCTCTAGGCTATGCAACAATTAACGGAACACGACAACACCGACCTACTCTCGACCCGATCCGGTACCTTTTTTGACTTGGCTCCCATATCGATTCGAGAGTGGGGGGCTGGCGAGACAACTCCCACGAGGAGCCAACTCGCTGAATACTACAACCCGCAGCGAGACAACTCTCACGAGGAGACAACTCGCTCGGTCCTACATCCCGCAGCGAGACAACTCCCACGAGGAGACAACTCGCTCGGTCTTACAACCCGCAGCGAGACAACTCCCACGAGGAGACAACTCGCTCTGTCCTACTACACACAGCGAGACAACTCCCACGAGGAGACAACTCGCTCGGTCCTACAACCACAACGAGATTACTCCCACGAGGAGCCAACTCGCTCGGTACCCCAACCCGCAGCGGGACAACTCCCACGAGGAGCCAACTCGCTCGGCACTACAAATCCGTTGCAAGGCAACTCCCATGAGGAGCCAACTTGCTCAATGCTACAACCTGCAGCGAGATAACTCTCACGATGAGCCAACTCGCTCGGCATTACGAACCCGATACAAGGCAACTCCCACGAGGAGCCACCTCGCTCGGTAAAAAGAATCGTTGCGAGACAACTCCAACGAGGAGACAACTCGCTCAGAGCGACCTGAATCCGCCCGCTCCCCAGTCGCGCGTCATCCAACGCTCCTACAACTTCGTTGCGAGACAACTCCCACGAGGAAACAACTTGCCCGCAATTCACTATATAGTCGCAAGCTCAAGTTAGCACGATTACAACCCTATCGCGAGGAGAATACTAACTCCGTGCTACTACATTATCGCGAGACAACTCCCACGAGGAGATAACTCGATCAACTCTATTACCCCACTACGAGACAACTCCCACGAGGCGATTACTTGATCCGTGCTACCACATTATCACGAGACAGCTCCCACGAGGAGATAACTCGATCAACTCTATTACCCCGCGACGAGACAACTCCCACGAGGAGATAATTCGCTACTACATCGTCGCGGGACAACACCGACGACTCAAGTAACTTACATCGCGACAACTTGGCCGCGCTACGCGCCAACGCGCATTCACGCCCCTCCGACACACGGTCCAACGAGTTTTCGCACACTATTAGGCCATACGCCAACGATCGACTTCTACATTTTTTACTCTCGACACGATCTAGCACCCATTTCAACATGGCCCCCACATCGACTCGAGAGTGGGGGGCTTAATGATATGCGTAATTGGCCCAACCCAATGGGCCTACAAATTATTTACCTACTGGGCCACGAGCCCAATATCGAAGACCACTATCACCGAGGCCCAATCACCTTCAAGTAAGGTTTGGGCCCGACAATCTCAACTAAGCTATAAATAAAGGTTTGAACTCATTTCCTTAAGGTACGTCCTATTATCTGAGCAATACTATTAATCGTATTCTCTGGACTATTTCTATGATCAGCACGTCTGACTTGAGCGTCGGAGGGGTTTCCGCCGGATCAACCCCCGACTTAGTTCATGTGTTCTATGATCGCAGGTACCTCAGGATCATCAAGTTGTCAAGCTACTGATCTGCTTTGCTCTCCCAGATCGTTTTCTACACTACCCCAGGTACCTCAGGATCATCAAGTTGTCAAGCTACTGATCTGCTTTGCTCTCCCAGTTCGTTTTCTACACTACCCCAGGTGATCTAAGTAATTAGCATCATCAATTTTTATTAAAACAAATCCTTTAAAACTAAATTAATCAAAAAAATTAATTAAACGGCCAACCGTAAATATAAAATGCCATACAAAGATACGAAATATACACTATATATACAGACGGTTCGATCACTCTAACCAATATATACATAGCAAGCATAAATAGCAGTGTTCTAAATAGCGGCGGTGGCGGTCGATATATCGGCCGCCATATCGGTATCGGTTATAAACCTTTACGATTTTGTTGAGGCGGTTTGGAATATCGGTTTTTTTACGGCGAGGCGGTTTGCGGCGGTTGTTTGGCAGGTCAAACCGATATGTCGGTCAACAAATCGGTTTTTTTTTTTTTTTTATAATATAAATTAAAATGAAAATATGTTTTGATTTTTTGTTTTTCTCCAATTCTTTCAACTTCCAAAACCAAACCAAGTACTACCCCGTAATTTATGCTTTGTTGTGTTTATATTAATTGTTGATGCGAAAGACGTGCGTAGTATTTGTATTTCGTAAGAATCTTTTATTATATTATGATCTTATTATTTTTAAATTTTTGTTATTTATTGAGTAATTAGAATTATATAATAACATATGAATGATAGGCTAGAATTATGTTTAAATATTCTTTTATATATATTTTGAGTATTACAAATAATATTTAGAAATATATTACACTAAATTTAAAAACCGATATATTTCCGATTTATCTCCGATAAATCACCGCCGCGCCGATTTATCGTGTGGCGGTCCCTAACCGCCACGTACCCGATAACCGCCTTTTAGAACCTTGAAAAATAGTACTTACATACAGTCTTGTTGATATTCACAAAAAATTGTATACACAAGTGTGAAAGAATTCGGGCTCTCTGACGAACTCAAATCACCAAGTACCCTTTACTCGATTTTCAAATTTCTGCAACACATTAGCGAAACATATGCTCAATACTTTGACAAATCATCCAAATAACGTAAACCACAAGTATTAATTACCACTGAATGTATAGATAGTGTACCTTCTTGAAGATACGTCTTCGACCGAGGAGTGTGTATCGTCGCATCGCTTATTCATTTTAAGGACAAAGTCATATTACCATTTAAAATACAACAACATCCCTGATGTGAGTCCGAGCTATGCGACTTCTTCTTCTCGTGTTTGAGGTTCTTCAGTTTAGGGAAAACAAAACCCGCGCTTGATGGATTGCCATCAATAAGAGAAGTTTTGTATATTTCTTCGCACTCCTGAACAATCTGCGTTTACAAAACAACAATTTGTCATCTATCAGATTAAGACGAAACGAGCTTAGTCTCTATATCGGATTTAACTGTCCAGCGGCTTATTGTCATTAACTCCAGACTCAGTGGCGAGTCCAGGAATTTAGTACAAGATGTGTGTTGGCGCCAGATTTCCACGAAGGAAGAAATCCGCCTCACTTGGGAAGTAAAGATTGGCTAAAGATTTGTTCCCATGTTTATTTTGGAAATTTAGAGTCCTACCTTTGTAATACTTTAGGACTTAGATTTATTTCCTTGTACTTTACTCTTATTAGGAATCTTTTATAGTTATCTAGATTAGAACTAGATATTGACTAGGATTCTGTTTCCTAGTTATTCGGTTCCTTTGGAAGACAGGTCTTTTGAGGCTGATCTCACGCCTATATAAGGCTCCTCACCTCACAAAGACCGTGACACTTTTGTTGGGAGAAAAATTACTCCGTTGCTTTGAAGAATCGCTGAAACGTTCTGCTGAACAGAACTGTGCCATCGTTGGATGTGTCAACATATACAGATTGGCTGTATAGATCTCTTGGGAGATCAACCGCGTCACTGAAGGGAGTTCAGGCCAGAAAGGAGTTCTAGGCACGCGGTGTGGAGCTGCGGTTAGAAGAAACACGAAGTTCGAGTTGTGTGCAAGAACGGCATATTACATAAAGAGGGAGTCTTTAGTGTTTTTATTAAGTCCTATTAATGTACACTATAAATCTGAACTAGTGAAATCGTGTTTGCAGGTCCACGTGGATGTAGGGCACAATTGTGTCTGAACCACATTAATTCTTGTGTTCTGTTTATTTACTTTAAGTAGAATATAACTGTGCCAACACAAGATTTACAGTTGTAACTGAATACTGTTTCCACAACTTAACTGTTACAACTTAGATCAACTGATTTCTATAGGCATATAAATCAACAATGTGCTTAAATTTTCGGGGGTTCAGGGACAGCGCCCCTAAAAAAATAGTACGAGAGATGAAGAGTATTATTTATTTACCTTTTCAACATCTTTTCTTGGTATGCCTTCTCTTAAGCTGATAACTTTTTCAACCACCTCTGGCTGCCATGCACAAAGCAATAAGGTATTACGAGAGACGAAGAGGAATAACCATATTTCCATATTAATTCCACAAGCGAGAAAGATTTTGAATGATTATTAGGAGATATAGTTTACCCAGTGAAGAAAGAATTCAACCAATTTATACATTACTAGCATATAACATAGTACTTACAGGACAATCTGGTTGATGTTCGAGAATATTTGTATACACAAGTGTGAAAGAATCTCGGCTCTCCGATGCAGCAAGTTTTCTCAAATCACTAAGTACCCTTACTCTATTTTCAACTTTCTGCAACACATTAGAGAAACATGGATAAATCATGAGTTCAAGAATTTATGGCTCATCATTTCATTTTTGGTAAATTACGACCACAACCCTGAGAAGAAAGAAATTCATGCCATATATATATATACACAAGTAAATTAATCGTTAGAGCTAACAAAACTTGATTAGTCTTGCAGAAACACTTACGTACTCTCGGAAGAAGTCCATGAGAATCTCTTCATCTAGCTTCATCCTTTCGATTGTCTCTTCTTTGATATAATTTTTCTGCTTTTAAGCAAAAATAATCAACGTCAACAGCACTAATAATATTGAACATTTGTGAGCACAAGAATCGAAAAGACTCATGCTAGGAACCTGGATCAGTAGATGGTCAACATAGACGACAATAGTTTCTTCAACGCACGCCTCAACGAATTGCATAAACGATCTTTCCTCAATGTACCTTCACATGATAAACACACATATATAAATGTATGGGTAAATTACGACCACTCCCGAGGTAAGGTTTAATTACGAAAATTCCCCTCTTATTTGGGTAACTACAACCACCCCTCAACTATGAATCTTCTTACACTGCATGTCCGCCCTTATGGTGTCAAATTCAACATAATGACTAGATTTCGTGGAATGTTCTATAGTTTGTACTCATTTTGTGCAAAAATGCAGTTTTTGTTGCACCACAATCTGATATTTACAAGTCAAAAGATACATCTTATCATCATCTTGTTTCAAAATGTGGAGCTCAAATGGGGTAAAACGAGTATAAACTGGAGAATATTTCGTATAATTTAGAAGATTCCACTATATTTAGCACAACAAGGGTGTACGTGTAAGAAGATTCATAGTTGAGGAGTGGTTGTAATTACCAAATATGATAGTTTTTTTTTTTTTTTTTTGTAAATATATGTATATATAAATAAATTCAAATGCGGTTACAAATTCGGAAAGTAGGGAGAGGGTTGATAGATTTACCAAAGGAAGGTGAAATAACTTACATCTTGACATCTGAAAAGTAATCAATAAACGTCGCAACTAGGTGTTCAGTTACTTCTCCTTCCAACCAATCTGGAATCGAACGAGAAACGAATCAACACAACATCATGTTTGAAGGAAATTTAGTTTGATTCATCAACGACAACGTTCGATTCGTTTTCCTTGCTGATAAAAATAATTGATTACCTTTCTGATAGAGCTTTACAAGTAACTCTTGAACTCCTGGATCTTCGAAAATGAAACGAACGGTTTGACGAATAGTTTCCTAATAACAGTTAACTATTATTACTCTACGGTGCTAAAAAAAATGTTCACAACTGTATTCTTCGTAAATATGGAAATTGCATAGTGGCAGTATGAACAAGTGAAAATTGAAAAAGAGATCTTTGCCCCGGTATACATGCTCATATACTAGTAGAGAAATTGTTTTTTACTACGAATATATCAAATTCGTAGTAAAAAGAATTTTGCTACGCATTTGCTATGAATTTGCCACGTAGCATATACTTTTTTGCTACGGCAAACGGCCGTAGCAATTATTTTTTTGCTACGGCAAATCCTAGCATTTACTACAACTCCAAAATCATCCCCTAGTAAAAGGTACATTTTGTTACAGTTTTTTACTGTAGCAAAAAAAAAAAAAAAATCGTTGTAACAAGCCATTTTTCTACTAGTGACACTTATACGAATGGTAGTGAAAAAAAAAAAGACAGTTTCAAAGCGAAAATTGGATATCCAGTTTACCTTCGCAACATCCAGAAAGCCTTTGCACGCGTCCTCAAAATTAACCTGGAAAGAGAAACAGTTTCAAGAAAGATAGATAAAAGAATGCTTCCTAACAAATTGAACCAGTTTTGGTCGATTACGAGTGTACTTCGAAGTCTATGCATTTGTTACGAATTCGCCCCATAGCATATACAAGCGTGACAAAAACTTTGCTACAGTAAATGGTTTTTTGGTACGGTAAATCCTAGCATTTACTACGACTCCAATTTTGTCCCGTAGTAAAAGTCACCTTTTGTTACGGCTTTTTATCGTAGCAAAAAAATTCCTAGTAAAAAACAATTTTTCTACTAGTGTGTATAACTTCATTGTGGCGTTAACCGAGAAAAATCCGATATAGTATTAGTACGAAGTACATAATTCATCCACCTACTAAGGCTCGCGATTTTTAAAATTTTCCAAAGCTAAGATAGATGAATATTAGTGTTAAAATGAAAAAAAAAATAGAAACAGAGAAAAAAGAATACTGTTAACTTTGAATTTTCGGTGTGATTTTAGTAGCATTTGGAAAAAAGAAACAAACAATAGTTCTCAGTATTTAATCTTCACCTGATCCGCATAATTCGGCGGCAGAGCTGCAAGTGTGCTAGAACTTAGCTCCGTTGCAAGATCGTAGCAGCGAAGATTGTTATTGATCTGTAACGAACTGATTTTATTAACACGATATAAAATAATAATGCCAGATAATCATTTGGTGTAACCATTGCATACTATTTCTTGATAGAATTCACATACCATTGCACATAAAGCTTCTAGACTAATTTCAGAAGTAGGTTCTTCCAATTTCTGCCTTTGTGCTGCTTGAAAATCAATCATTACCTGAGACGAGCAGAAAAACACAAATCAATCATTCATGTAGTTCGAAAATCTTACACTCTGTCAATCTTAAAACAATCATTGTTGTAATTAATTTTTTTTACGTTATTTTTTTATGTATATTCGGCCCTCTCAATGATAAAATTTTGGCTCCGCCACTGAACAACATTGAACATTATAATATCAAAGATCATTGTAGGACCTAAGATAATAAGTATAGCTCTATGTAGCACGGAAAACTTCAACGTCCTAACGTTTTCGCGTTTCGGGCTCGTTTCATGTCCCGAAACTCGAGGATACCCTTCGGGACACCTAATAGATCACTTTGAAATTTAAAAAAAAAAATGAAAGACATGTTTGAAAACTAACGGCGATGGCCACATTGAGACAATTTTTTCAAGTGCAAGGGGGTAAATCGATGGAATCGAGAGTAGAAGGGGGTAAAGTGATATCGAATCAAAGTAAAAAGGGAGAAAATGGAATCTGCCCTATTTTTGTTGCTTCCTTAATTATTTACATGATTTAATGATTAATTGCAAATAGATAGTTGATAGTAAAATATTTTGAATATGTTTGTATGTAAATGAAAAAAAAATATAATTTATGTATAGATAAAAACTTATATATGTTTATATGTCATATTTATAAATATACCTCTTTATTTTTAATATTTACATGTTTTCCCCAAGCTCCCGTATCCCCATTCTTAAGACATGCAGTTTCCCCGTGTCCGTTTCCCCATTTTTCCTTCTCTCCATTTCCGTGTCCGTGAACACATTGAATTTAACAAGCAGAGTCTTAGGCTAGCAAATTTGAACCAACCTGAATGATGGCGAAAGCAATTTTGTACAGCATGAATTTAATCGAACGATTATTTTCTCGTACAATCAACACTTGCTCTCCAAGTATGCGAAACAAATCAACAGCAATTGGCGTGTACATCTTTCCATCATTTGTTTCCTTCGGTAGCTGTACCTTCTCAGCGTCGAGTACATTCAGGTACCATTTCTACATACAACAGAGTGCCTTCAGTTAGTTTACCTGACCTGATAATATTGATTGATGAAAATGCACTCATTGCCTATTTACCCTTATTGTGTCTTGCATTTTTTCGACGTAAGTATTCGTAAGGTGATCCATCGCGCCGCTTTCGGAGCAAACTCGAGCAAGCGATTCGTCAACTCCAAGTCGAATTAGATTATCTTCGTACTCGACTACCCAGCCAGTTACCTAATCACAGAAATAGCACACACATAATTAAAACATGGGAAAATTATAGTTATCATCCCTCAAGTTTGCACCGATTTCACATTTGGTCCTCCATGTTCAAAAAAAATATATTTGGTCCCTCGTGTTTCAGTAATTTAACAGTTATGGTCATTTCCGTCAACTTACCATTAATCCGTCAGTTAGGGTAGTTATGGGTGCATGCTTGATTCCGTTAGTACAAACGAAAAATTAACGAAAATGACTAAAAGTGTTGAATTTTTTAAATATAAGGGACCAAATATGCAATTAGTGCAAATTTGATGGATGAAAACTATATTTTTCCCATTAAAACAGCTCCAAACTAATTCAAAATATGGTATTAGTTTTGATATCAGCAACAATAGATTCAATGAAATAAATACCTTTAATATCTCTGTATTTGTCAAACTATTAGCTCTGTCATTGAGAAGTCTAAACCACTGAACAAACTTCTCAGTGTAAAGATTCACCATGAACTCGAATATTTCATCTCTAAAGAAATCGAAATTTGAATAAATAAATAAATCAAAATAAACAAACTGTTATTATATTAATGAATAAACATGGCAAACCTAGGACGAAAACGAGGAGCAACGTGTTCATATATATCTCCAAGTTCTTCACCAATCTGACATATATTAGAGAAGTTGACCATAGTTATTTGCAGATTGAAAAAGGAATGAAGTTCAACAAAAACCAAGTCATTTAATCAACTGATTATGCAAGAAAGAATACGATACTACTCCATCTGTTCCATATTAATTGTCTCTTTTTTTTAAATATTTTTATTCCTAGACACTTCAGATTTTCAATACTGCACTAAATGCATTTTTTTTTCTGTTTTAAACTTATTAATTTAACTCCAAGTATTTTAGCTCTTTCATATCACATCAAGGTTATTTTAGTCTTTTTAATGTGTTTTTCCCAAAAATCAAGACACGTTTATTGAGATTCTTAATACTTGTGCAAAGCTGAAGAACGACAATTAATTAGGAACGGAGGAAGTATGCGACTTGAAACATAATGAACATGATGTTCTAGTATTTTAAACATAAGAAACATTGTAAGAAGTACATAAATACCTTCTTAGCCTCCTCTAGAGCTCCTTCTAGGTCCTTAAATTCAAGCTGAAAAGGCATAATATCGGAATGTGAAGAAAATTAGAAAGATTTACAAATTCTAGATTAGTGCCGTAAATAGGGCCGGCACTGGGGTGGGGCGAGCAGGGCCCAATGTCATAGGCGGCCCAAAATTTTAATTGTTTAATATATATATTATAGATTTTTGTGTGTAAAACTTGTTTTATTATTTAAAAAAGAATTACTCTTCTATTTTTTTTCAAAAAATAAAAATAAAATTTACTCTTTATTCTTTTTTTTATTTTTTATAAATTTATTTTAAAAATAGATTTGAAATTTAATAAAAGTTTTTTATCTAGACATGAAGTTTCTGTTAATAAATAATTTATTTATATTATTTCATGAAGCTTAAGATGCGGAAAAAAGAAAATCGGACGTTGCCCCCGAACTACCGAACAATTATATTCTTGCCCCGGGCCCCCGAATACGCCGGACCGGCCCAGGCCGTAAAGCATAAAACATATTAAGAGATGAACCTCGGTGAGCAATCGGGTGAAACGTGCTTCTCCGGACTTCCTTATTTCCTCACAACATTTATCCTTGTAGCCTTTACCTTGATTTCTAGTAGATGCAAATTTCGTAGATTAAACATAAAAACAAATTAAAAAAAAAATTAATATGCAGAGAACATGGAGTAGGAAACTGAATCATGAGGTTAATTGCAGATGCATAAGTTGAAGAGGTAAATATACTTTGCGTATTTCGGAGGATTTGCTACAGAAAGCACGGAGTACGCTCCTTCTGTAGCTACTTCTCGATCCAAGATTTCTTGCATTTCAACAACCCTTTTTGTTTCAAGTGTAAACGAAAGGGTGCATTAGTATCCAAAAAAGATGTTAAGGTAATGTGCCTTATTTAGATTAAACATGTATACACCTCAGTGCACAAGCTAATGTTTGTGGCCTGCAAAACAAAAATAACGGCGACAAATGAGAAGCGTAAATAGATATACAGTGCATTTAACAGATAATATAGAATCATAGTCGCCTTCATCGACGATCCTTATAAAATAAAGGGTTAAATATAGTTTGCACTCTTGTACTGTCAGCATTGTCGCAGAAACGGGACAAAACAACCCCTGCCGTCCATCTATGTTACAAACGCCGTCCATTTCAATTGTTGACTGACCGTTGCACTAGAATTTGGAAAATTTCAGACCAAAATACCCCTTTGATTGTGTATAAAAGGTGTGCATCATTCTTCCGCCATTTGTACTCAATTTAATTTCTTCCCAATTTCTTTCTAATTTTCATTTCCAGCCCTTTTTTTCTTTTTACCCGAAATTATTGAACAAATTAGAAATTAATTGTAATTTCTTTTTAAAATTTATAAATAATTACTCGGTTTAAAAATGTCTTCCGATAGTTCAAATTCTCAAAATTCATGTTTTAGGTCCAAACACTACATGTCATATTTTTCTGGAACCACTACGTGTTCGAATTCTTTTTATCCAATTTACAAAGTCAGAAAATGGCTACTTCTGTCAAATAAAAATAAGGGTAAAAAGGTAACTACACTGCAAAAACTAACACCTGGTAAGGTGAGGTGTTGTTTTTTCGCATTTCATAGTACATGGGGGTATATGCGACAGTGATATAGTACAGGCAGAGGCGTACCCAAGCAGTGCATTGGAGGGGCAGCCACCCCTGCAGAAAAAAAAAAAATTGCCTATTTTTTATTGATTTTCATTTATATATTTTTAGATTATAATATATTCTCCCCCTAATTTATTTTACTCGAACTCTCGCCCCCCCAAATAAATTACCCTGGGTCCGCCCTTAAGTACAGGGGTGCAAACTGTATTTAACCCTAAAATAAATCCTCAAAAAAACATACCTTTCTTTAGCAAGCTTGATAAAATCGGAAACATGACCCCATAATGTCGTCTCGAACGTGTCCCACGTGCGATCGATATCGTCAACATATTCACTATGAAAGGTTAATGTAGTTAAGTTAGTCATCCTGAGAATTTATCCTCTGCATACATATGACAATTTTAAATTTTCTCACCTGAGGCGACCAACCTCTTATTCATGAGACAATGCGGATGCTAATGCAAACCTCCGTTTCTCGTTGAGCACAGTTAATCTCTAGAGTCGTTGATCAAACATATATATATAAAAAAAAAATTAATAAAAAAAAAGTCAAAAGCATATGATCTGATCAATTAGACAACATGTCGAATAGATGTTGAGCAGATGCTTGAATAATTAGACAAGAACACAAAAATGTCAACCTTGTAAGTGGTAATAAGTTCGTTTTTATCGGCGAAAGAATCACGTGCCTCAGCATCCTGCAAAAGAGCAATCAAGTTATACGAATTTGATAGTTCTCAATGATCAGCTCTTAATGGAACCCATTTTCTTACTCAGTTAGAGGTTGACTTAGTCAATGTGTTTGATCAACATCTGAACTGGTCATTAGTTGCTTTCCTAAACACAATATTACTAACTTCTTTTTTATTAGATTTTTATGTGAAAAAAATTAGGATTATGTTGAAGAAGTTATTTTTATGGGCAGATTACGACCACCTCTGAGGTTAGGTATAATTACAAAAACAAAACCCTCTTGTTTGCATAATTACGATCATCCCTCAAAATGAATTATCCCTCGAAAGTTGAACTCCTTTTTTCATCACCTCCACAATCATAAATTTTCACAAGGCATAGAAAGAGAATTATTTTTTACATATATTTATTACTTAATTTATAATTATAAGGATCATAAATACAAGTGTCTTTTCATGGAAATACACCAAATATAAATACACCAAATACCAGTAGACTCTCCGGTCTCCCCTGTTAATTGAGTTTACTTATTTAACTAGAGGAAATTGTTCAGCATTTAGTATTCAAAGAGCTGATTTGTAGTTATGTTCTTTCTTTTTATCCAACAAAGTTATGATCGACCAATTATGTACACACACAAAAATCACCGATTATATACAAAAAAATTCATCAGCACCAACAACAAAGATCCAATTTAAATATTTATATTATAAATCATCAACTCGCAACCAACAAATAATGATCCATACATATGTTACTATCCGTTACTACATATAATTATAGTAATGTTCAGTATGTAGTCGACTATAGCTTGAAACAGATGTCAAATTCGTCAAATTCGTCTGCAGCTGCAACCAGATTTTTTGCACCGTCAAGGAGAAGATCAATGATTAAGATGCAATTGCATAACCAAACAAAAAAAATTAGTTAAGTTATATGGGGAGACAAGACTAGTAATATTAAATGCAGTGTTGTGTTATTCCAATTAAATTTTAGTGCAAGTTAATAAAAAATGACGAAACTTCCAAATATTAAAAACCGTTCCAAATTTAAGAGAGGGATTATATATATATATATATATATAGGAACGGATTGAATCCAAAAATAAATTCTCGACAATAGGAATCCAACGGCAGTTAAATAATTAAATTTTCGACCGCCGAAGAGAAAGTTATGACTACGAAAAACACCATTATCATCGGCCCAGAAAATAATGAGGTGAAAATTCGGATATGAGAAAAAAATAAAATACAAAAAGATGGTTGTAGTTGGCTAGGATTAAATATAATTCTCTAAAGGGTACAATTAAGCACTCTATGTGGCCGAGGCGTATGTGAAATGTTGAAAAAATAAAGGTCAGATGGTATCACCAAGGGTGTAATCTCCTTAATAGTTAGTCCAATATAGTTCTCGAATGAGGGGTATGTCAAATTATCCCATTTAGATTCAATTCTTAATAATTAAGATATTAATTTAACATTAAGTAGGGTTGGGATCGGATAATAATTCTTTAGTCGACCCATTGGATCGGGTCAAAATTCTTGACCAACCTATCTATAATAGGTATGTTGATGGTTTCTAATATTATCAAAATTCAGTTGACCGATAATTATCGTTTAACCAACTATATTAATAAAATTTTATTAAAAAATATAAAATAAAGGGTGTAGTTTTTTGTAAGTGGGCATGGAATTATCAGCATCGTTAGGATTTTAAAGATTTTAAATTAAACAAAAAAAATCAACAAGGAAAAAAAGTTAGACATAAATCTTCCAACATAAATTGGGAATGTGCATGTTTGGAATTAGTTTGAATTTCAGAATTACATTTTTTGTCGAATTACTATTAACCATTTTGAACTAATAATGATCATGGCTAGTGGCACTATGCAGAATGTGCATATTTTTTCTCAAAATTTTATTTGTTTAAGTAAATATTCGGTTACTAACCATAAGCAGACCCAAAAAGGTTTTGTCGGCAATGATTTTTATATTTGAGCAAAATTGGTTTGTCAGATGGGTCGGTTTTTAGGCCGGTAATCGACCGACCCAACCCAATCCCAACCCTACTTGGAGGCGTAACTTCTTCGCCGCTGGTTGGAATTCGACGGTTCACCCACCATTGGATTCCTTTATTAAAGGGCTTTCTTTGAGTCGTAAATTGGTATGAATTTGATTAGGGGATCGATTTTCCTGATTATTTTACAGTGCATGACGTTGTAAGCCTTTGGGGCTTGTTTGCGGCGGCGACAGAGGAGTTCCTAGGGATACAATTAAAGTAAAAAACTTCCTTAAACTTTGAAATACTTCTTTTAAATAAAATTTGTTATAATATATGAAGTATGTCTTTCTTTGTCAGTGATTAGTATTTTAAAAGCATTGCGCTTGCAGTAAACCTTAAAATGTAACGGAATTAACCGTTTTTTAATTTTCTTTTATTACGCTTTAAACGACGTCGTTTTAACTTATTAAAACGCGTCCACACTTTTATTTTTATTACGTTTTTTCGAAAGTTTGAGGGAAGAGCCAAACGACGTCGTTCGAGAGGGCAGCATGGACAGCATCACATGCACACAGCGTGTTCTGAGCTAGGGAGAGAGAGCCGTTGTTTTATTTCTATAAATGGGCAGACAAACATAGAGTTGGCAAGCACTATCAGTACTCTAGTCTAGCTTAGTTAGAGATAAGATAGAGTTCTTGTTCCTTTGTCCCAAGTTTATTTTTCTTTTCTTCAAGATTGTGAACCCTACTTTGCATTTTGAGTGGATACAATCTTTCAGCTGAATTTCAATAATTAATTCGAGAGTTTATTACATTATTGAGAGTGATTCGTGACATAAAAGAATGGCATATAGTTGGCCACGTGAAAAAAGAGGGTTCAAAAGATAAACACCAACGTGTTAGAGAGATTGTCAGTGACTTTTCTTTATAATCATAGTAGAGGAAAAGCTAATAGGAAACTGTCAACGCTGAAACCGAATTCCGATGGTATTGACAACCGTGGAATTAAAATCTTATGTCCAACGTTTAGAAAAGAAAAAAAAAGAACATATGACCAAGAAGCGTGACATATAGTGAAACAAAGAGATAATTAAGTTCACAATCCGACAAATATAAAAGGATTTTTGCTGAGCTTTTCTTTCTTTATATATAAAGATACTTCAAAAACCTAATTTTCATAAGATATTTTTGCATAAACTGTTTCAGAGAAATAAATTTAATTAGTTAAGGCCTCGATTGCTTGCGACTATTAGGTTAGATTAATTAAATAGTAGGAGTTAGTATACTCAAGTCCGCTACTAAAGTTGAAGTCCGCAATTAAGTGTTACTATGTCATGGAATTAGTAGCACCCCTCCCCGATTAATTTTATAGGAGTGATTAAAATGGAAAATTACAAATATATCCTTAAAATAACAATTTAATTTTGTTAAATAAAAGACATAGTCAATTTACACATAACAACAGAATTTATCCAATATAGTTAAGCAAATGAGGCCTAAGACAGCAAATTTGTCCGATTTTTTATGTTAGACCATTTTTTAATACAGTAGAATCTCGATAAATTAAGAATCTCGCTTAAATAATAATTTATTCCGGTCCCGACTCAGTGAAAACGTATTAAATTATTAGTTCGATAATTTAATATTTCATTAAATTAATAAAATTTTGCTAGTCTCAACTGTATTAATTTATAGAGGTTTAAGTGTACATGGATTCCCTTTTTGTTTTGAATTTAGAAGGTGTTATTCATAGCCAATATTGGTCTTGAGAATAGCCATACCCTTAAAAATTAGTTAAAAGTCCGCCTTCTTTCCCTCCAAAATCCGTCCAACATTCATAAAGCCACATTAATAAGCTTATATCAAAGTCTGAAAAATTCATTCACATAAAAGACAACTAAAATTTTATAATACAATAGACTTAATAATCTCAAATGACACAATTAAGGTACATGCAAAAATAAATTGCCTAGAATTTGCCTCAAGTCGCTACGATTTTGACTTTGCCTCGAAAGTATTTGCTTGTTTCGACGAGTTAAAAAATAACAAATCAAATCGCTCATGATACACGTTAAAAAATAACAAACCAAAAATGAAATTTCATAAGATTTTTCAAATTCAGTTCGTTTTAGTGAGAGAAATAACATAAATTAACATAACAAATCAATTGATTGCACTCATCATATACACAGTACCTCGTAACTGATTCATTGCCTTTCGGACTAGGTGAGTTTTCTCCATAGGCCGCCTTTGGAAGCTGATAAGGACTTCACTTTAGGGAAAACAAAACCCGCCTTTGGAGGATTACCATCGACAAGAGAATTTACGTATATTTCTTTGCACTCTTGAACAACCTGTGTTTTACAAAACAACAATAATCGAGGATGTCACGTTTTTTTTTTGTTTTTTTTTTATAGTTCTTGATATATTTAGCCAATTAAATTAAAAAAAAAAAAAAGTTGGCTCCCACGTTTAATGTTTATATGAAGATTACTATTTATATACCTCTTTAGCATCTTTTCTTGGTATGCCTTCTCGTAAGCTCACAAGTTTTTCAACCACCTCTGGCTGCATGCACAAAGCAAAAAATAATAACACAGACCAAGTGCAATGACCATAAATTTCAAAATTTATTCGACCACTAAACAAAATTTATGCAACCAATTTATATACATTGCAAGCATAACGTATTACTTACAGGACAGTCTGGTTGATGTTCGAGAATATTTGTATACACAAGTGTGAAAGAATCCGGGCTCTCTGATGAAGCAAGTTCTCTCAAATCACCAAGTACCCTTACTCTATTTTCAACTTTCTGCAACACATTAGAGAAACATGTACTCAACACATCAGATAGATGGCGGGCTAAATCATTAGTATAGAATTTACTGATGAGACACATTAGTTAGTATAAATCAATCGACACGAAGTTCAAGGACTGTGTTTCGTCATTTCCTTTTCGGTAAATTACAACCACACCCCTGAGATAACACTGAATTACAAGAAGTGTTTCTTTCTTTTTTTCGTTTTTTTGTAATTGAGCCTTATAAGAAAGAAATTCATGCACATATATATACTACCGGGAGTAAATTAGGTTTCGGATGTGCATGAATTTCTTTCTTATATATATATATATATGTGATAGATATGTGTGTGTGTAGTAAATTAATCCTCAGAGCAAATTAAACTTAATCTTATCAGTGGGGGCTTACAGAAACACTAATATATTCCCGGAAGAAGTCCATGAGAACCTCTTCATCTAGCTTCATCCTTTCAATTGTTTCTTCTTTGATATAATTTTTCTGCATAGCAAATATAATCAATGTCAACAGAACAATGATGATTTGAACTTGGTGAAGAAAAGTATCTAAAAAGGAATATTCTCATGCTAGGAACCTGGAGAAGCAGATGGTCAACATAGACGACAATAGTTTCTTCAACGCATGCCTCGACGAATCGCCTAAACGATCTTTCCTCGATGTACCTTCATACGTAAACACACATTTTAAAACGTTCTCCGTGAATTGCAACCTCTAACGAAAGACGAGATGTCAACTAATGATTTTGCAGGATCCGGAATTTAAGTTATATGATTTACCAAAAGTAGATAGAATAACTTACATCTTGACATCCGAAAAGTAATCACTAAATGTTGCAACTAGGTATTCGGTTACTTGTGCTTCCAACCAATCTGGAATTGAACGAGAAGCAAATCAAAACAACATCATGTTTGAAGGCGATTTAATCTGTCAGCTCGTGAGAAGCAGTAAAATTGATTACCTTTCTGATACAGCTTTACAAGTAACTCTTGAACTCCTGGATCTTCGAAAATGACACTAACGGTTTGATGAACAGCTTCCTAATAACAACGAACAATTATAACTCAATGATTGTCAAGAAAAGGTTCTTAACTATATTCATATTCAATACGGAAATGGGATTACCAATATACCTTCGCAACCTCCAGAAAGCCTTTGCATGTATCCTCAAAATTAACCTGTAATCAGAAGCAGTTTCAAGAAAGATTAGCATTCTTCTTCAGACATATAGTTAAGTCCAGGCATGCACATAACCCGATCAATGTTTTTATTCACCCTGACACTGTCAAATGTTAGTGGCGGATAAAGAATACTTCCTAACAAATTGAACCAATAATTTCTTGAGTAAGAGTGTATTTTGAAGTCCATGCTGGCATGCTCATCATATCCAGTGGGAAGACGAAAACTGCAGTCACTAGGCCTTTTCCAAGATTAATAAACCTGAAGGATTTTTCTCTTTCTCCATTGATCTATATTATTGTTTCCTTCTCTACTTTATTTATTACACGCGGACCGTAATTTCTTGCTTTTTGTGTTACTTTTTTATCTCCATGTTGGCTTTAAATTGCCGACATATATGAGATGGAGCCTGGTTTATTTCCCCTGCATGCGAGGAATCGAAATGACTATGGTCGTACGCAAGTGAAAACAGAACCCTATGAATGATTAATTGTAATGTTACAATATATACACAGGTACGTCAAGAAAAAACCAAGGGCTATTGGATAAAATGGTCTTTAAAACTAATAATTGCATGAAAGATTTTTCTAGGGTTAGAAATCTGAACTTCAATTATGATTATACAATGTTCTGACTACTCCCAAGACCAAAAAAAGTGTGTTCCAGATAAGCAACACTAAAGTGTTTTTTTTTTTCTTTTAAATTCAATATGTGCTTGCTCGTGTATCTGACTTCTCTTTCTTTTATGTGTTGCATTGTTTCCCTAATTTCATAATTTCAACTTATAAAGACAAATGCAATATAATTTCATCAAGTAAATTTGACTATTTACTTGAATGTTCAGTGTTTTTTAGTAACATTTCAGGCTCTTGTAAAAAAGAAATCGACAATAGTTCTCAATTTTAATTGTCACCTGCTCGGCATAATTCTGTGGTAGAGCTTCAAGTGTGCTAGAACTTAGCTCCATGGCAAGATCATAGCAGCGGAGATTGTTATTGATCTGTAATGAACTGATTTTATTAGCATGATATAAATAATACCAAATAATCGTTCGGTGTATCCATCGTATATTATGTCTTGGCAGAATTCACATACCATTGCACATAAAGCTTCCAGACCAATTTCAGAAGCAGGTTCTTCCAATTTCTGCCTTTGTGCTGCTTGAAAATCAATCATTACCTGAGACAAGCAGAAAACACAAAACTCTCAACGTAAGCAGAAAACAGAATACCGACACACAATCCTTAACCTTTGTGCACGAGGAGTAAGTAATAGAAACAGAACGTTTAACTATGTCGTAGTCAATGCCTAAACAATACTTTGACCATCACATGGAGCGATAGAACATCAAAGATAAGTGCATGAACAAGTTTTTTACTCAATTTAAATTTTGAAGCTACCTGAATTATGGCCAAAGCAATTCTGTACAGCATAACATCGGTGCTATTTTCTCTTACAATCTGCACTTGCTCTCCGAGTATGCGAAACAAATCAACAGCAGCTGGAGTGTACAGCTTTCCATCATCTGTTTTCTTCGGTGCTTGTACCTTATCAGCCTCGAGTATATTCAGGTACCATTTCTACATAACAGAGTGCCTTCGGTTAAATTATTTGACCTGATAAGGCTGATTGATATGAATTGAATGCATGCAAATGCTCTCAGTGCCTATTTACCCTAGTTGTGGCTTGCATTCTTTCAACATAAGCATTCATAAGGGGATCCATTGCACCGCTTTCGGAACAAACTTGAGCAAGTGACTCATCGACACCAAGTCCAATTAGATTCTCTTGGTACTCAACTACCCAGCCAGTCACCTAATACCAGAAATAGACATTCAGGATGAAAACATCTTCGTACTAATCATACACAACCAACAAGAAGGAAAAATGAATTATAGATAAAACCATATCTTCAGCATTAAACACTGATTGCAGAAAACCACGTATAGAAACTTCATAAAACATCTCCATGAATATTTGCAGCCTATGTGTAAATTTGAAATAATTATCTTACTTATAGATGGTCAAGCTCTTTACACAAGCAGTTAAGATTCACAACTATGAGATGTCTAGACACATTCCTTAAATCAATGTTGCACAAACTTTAAGCTTAGAAAAATAATAAATTCCAGATTTTACTTATTTCTGATCCACATATGACTTCTAAGCTCTCATTAATAGAAAATTTTCGCTCAACTCGGAATATTATAGGATGTGTTTCGTTTAAGAAACACAAGTGTTTATTCATCAAAACTAATGAGAGAAGGCCAGTTTAGAGGACAAGCAGTTCAATAACAAAGACTGAAAAAAATTGAAGGTGAACAATCAGCAAGTTATACTGAAACGTCAAATGGACACGCATTCATAAAAGTTTAGGCATAAGTTGAGGAATTATTTTATACAAAACAATTCAAAATATATAATTTTCAGTATCAATTACAGTATATTAGAATAAAATACCTTTAATATCTCTATATTTGTCATATCATTGGCTCTGTCACTGAGTAGCCTAAGCCACTGAATAAACCTCTCAGTGTAAAGATTCACCATGAGCTGGAATATTTCATATCTAAATAAATAGACATGTGGATAAACAAATCAATATTTTCAAATAGGAAACAAACAAAAAATTACTCTAACATAATCCTATCAGAGGCCGAAAGAGCAATCCAATAAACAAACTATTATCATATTAATGAATAAACATGACAAACCTAGGAGGAAAGCAAGGAGCAACGAAGTCATATATATCTCCAAGTTCTTCACCAATCTGACAATTATCAGAAAAGTTGACCATTATATCAGATATTTTTAACATATGATAATCAGAACTTGATGATGCATGAAAGATAAGAAGTTCTAACTTATAAGATATAACTTGAACATAATAATAAAATATGCACTTCAGGCAATCTAAATATTAACTAGGTTCATAACCAGTTAACCTGCATGAGTACATTTTGACTATGTTGATAATAAATTGACATCCAGGATTTTATAAAACTCTAACCAGTGATTTTCAGGTCTATCTTAGTATGAAACCACATTAGACAAATAGAAGTTTGGTTATTTTTGAAGTAGATAATTTTGATGTTATTCACCCTGGTGCTTATGAGGTGGCTAAAGCTGCAATAAATCATACATTATAACTGAGAAAATTTAGCAAAGAGTAAATCATATTCCAACTAGTTACTCTTGAGTGTTCAATATTTGATTTATAAATTAGAAAAGAAGAAGTGAATGTGCTTCATTGACGCTTTCTAATATAGGCAAATGAAGAAAGCTTCGTGAAAAAAGAATGAAGTTCAACAAAAAGAATGTTATATGCGATTCTAAACATAATAAACATGATATCCCAGTATTTTCTACAGCAAAAGCGAATATTAACATTTAAATGTGTCCTATAATCCTATTAGTACCAAGTTAAAGAAATAAAAATTACTGTTCCAGAAAGTGAATCTCATAAATTTATCCTTTAAGTTACAAAGTTAAGAAAGCAGTAATACTTAATAATTTCAGTTCACTATCGCGATACATCATATCAAGAACCATATCAATACCTTCTTAGCCTCCTCTAAAGCTCCTTTTAGATCCTCAAATACAAGCTGAAAAGCATATCACTATCAGGAACAAGAACAGATAGAAAATTTTAAAAATTCCAGACTAGTGCCTTATAACAGAAGCAGAATAAGAGATGAACCTCGGTGAGCAAATGGTTGAAACGTGCTTCTACAGCCTTACTTATTTCCTCATAACATTTATCCTTATAGCCTTTACCTTGAACCTTCAACTTCTGCTGAGGAAGATTTCTTGAAGACGCAGATTTCCTGGATTAGCCAAAAAAGAAAGGCCACTAAGATCAACAAAATCATGCAAAATTGATTCAAAATGTCAATATGCACGAAACATGGAGTAGGAAATTGAATCATGAGGTCAACTGCAGATGTATCAGTTGAACAGGTAAATACTTTGCATTTTTACGAGGATTTGCTACAGACTCCACTGCACCACCTCCTTCAGCCTCGGCTGCTTCAGTAGCTACTTCTTGGTCCAAGATTTCTTGCATTTCAACAACCCTTTTTGTTTAAACGTACAAGAAAGGGTGCATTAGTATCTAGCCAAAAAGTTCTTACTGTAATGTGTCCCATTCAGATTAGACATACCTCAATGCACGAACTAATGTTTGTGGGCTGCCAAAGAAAATAATGGTGATAAATCAGTAGCAGAAAGAGATATACAGTGTTGTTAAAAGCAAAGCACAAAAACCAAAGATGTGATGCACTAAATCGTTTTCCTTCAATCGTTTGTTGACTGAAAATATGAACACCAAAGAAAAAGAACAAAAAAATGGCATCTTGATAAAGGAAACTCTCAAAACAAGCATACCTTTCTTTAGCAAGTTTGAAGAAGTTGGAAACATGACCCCATAATTTCCTCTCGAATGTCTCCCACGTCCGATCTATATCTTCAAAGTATTCACTGTGAAATATTGTAATTAGTAATAAAGATATAAACTGCTCGACTTCAAAACTAAAAAGCAGCTTAAATGGAAGTTAAAGTTACTGAAATAATGACAATGTTCTGCCAATTTGTCCTCTGCATACTTGACAAGTTGAAATGCATTGTAGATCAAGATATATTCAATACTCTTGGGAATGCATTTTTTAAACCCAATCCTTGCTGTGCAACCATTAGGATTAATGCAAGTAAATTTTCTCACCTCAACCGACCAACCTCTTCTTCATGAGATGATGCAGCTGCTAATGCAAACCTCCGTTTCCCGTCCAACGCAGTCAATCTCTAGAGTTGACCAAACATAAAAAAAAATGTCAGTAGCATTGCAACTTTTGATATCTGATGAATTAGACAATAATTAACCAAGACCACAAAAATCTCAACCTCGTAGGTGCTAACAAGTTCCTTTTCATCAGTCAAAGAATCATGTGCCTCAGCCGCCTCACTAGATATTGACATCATACCCTCCACGTCCTGCAAAAGAGCAATAAAGTTATTTGCGCATGGATAAGAATAACAATAATCAGAAACGTAGAAAGCACTGTTTAAAATAGATTTTGGTTAATGTCCATATTTATACAGAAAGCGACATAAAACACATAGTAGTACACTTACCTTCAGAGTCATGTTCAAATTGTTTCTCGCATTACTGAGGAGCTTTATTTGATCATGATTTTCAATCAATGTTTGGCATTCTTGACATAACCTGTTATAAGGGAAATCTATATCAGCCTAAAATAACAAGAGACCAAAACAAATGCATATTGTTTCCCCAGTGAATCGAGAGCGTTTATAAACTATGTTACATCATCTTCATACTTTTCAATATCAACGAAATTCTCTCTGAGTTGACCAATAGTCTTTTGAGACAAGGACAGCGATTCAAGACCTCCCTGTGCCTGCTCAACCTGAAGCCAGAATCCAGCGAGAAAAGTTAAAACGTTGATGTAGAAACAAGTGAAATAAAACTTTTACATTATTTACAAGCTTCAACTCATGGCCAACTCAGGTGAAAGATATTAACTTCCCATGATAGTGATTTACAGGCTCAGGACACCATACCTGTTCAGCGACCATGGTACTGAGGTGTGCATCATTTGCCTGTTACCAAACAAATGCCCATTAACAAAGAAGTAATCACCATCATCATTTGTGCTAAAAAATTTAAAAGAACTGGCAAGGAACAAAAATTATAAACAATCAAAAAACCAAACTTCTACTAATCCAACAGAACAGCAGTCACTACGCGTCTACGAGAAAAGAGCACCTCAGGAATTGTATTCGACAAAACGGTCATCAAGGAATAAATGCTCCACGAATTTATGATGCTTTGTTTTAAATAGCATCATTCTAGCAGAACAGGGAGCAATAAATACAGATTGCTTAATATAATCGAATTCCCTAAACTATTCTCTTGTTTGTTGTCACAATCAGAAGGTCTAAAATGTGAATGAAAGGAGCGATGCAGCACAAAGATGGAGGGAGACTAGGATTAAACTACCTAAATGAATAATTTCTATATACAGGTCAACTTCTAAGCCTTCACGTTGTACTTAACATTCAGAAGAAACAGTAAAAATCAATTCACAGTCTAAATATCAAGAAACTGACTGACAAATGCTTCCAAAAATTCATTATGAAGTGTTAGTCATGAGTAAATAGAAAAAGAAAAAATTAAGGATAATGCACATGCCCGTCAATTTAATAAGAATAATAAATAAAACATTGTATCACATAATACACTAAATGAAACTCCAAATTTCTCCATATCCATATAAATTTTACTACTAAAACAGCCCCGCCCCAATTTTGTAACATTGTTAACGACGCTCCTGGTATCACAGACAAATTCTACATAGCATTCATACTCTTAATGATCTTCAGATCATTGTTTTACTAACACGGTTACTGACATCAAGTAATTGAAACCTAAAAACACTATATTTAAATACAGAAACTTAAAAAATAGACAACCAAGATTTATTTCTAGTCCTTCTAAAATCACGATCGCATTAAAAATAAAAACGAAAACTTCGACCCTCTATCCCACTTCCCCTATTCCGTGAGCCCAAGAACTGACAATTGAACAACCGACATCGTAGGAGCTTTCCAATTAGTGTCGTCAACAATGCTATTCCTAATCAGATGAACCCATGTAGACACAAGTACCATAATCGTGAAAAATCCAACGAAACAGTAAATAGGCACCGATTACCAAAAGCGTTCAACAGTTGTCTTGTTGAAGAAACTGCTGTTATGGAAACAGAGTTACGAGAAGAAATGTAGTAAAAAAATGAACAAGAAATCAAGCATCTTACTGCAAATGTTTCTTCAATTTTTTTTTTTTTTTCAATCTCCAATTGTTCCCCAATGAACTAATTACCAAGATAAACATCAATCAAAGAAATTGACAGCATAGACTAACACGAATCAACAGGAATTACTATGCCTTCTAATCAATTTCAGTTCCACAAACTCATGTGATGAATTCAATCGCAGAAAGCAACTTCAGTAAATGAACGAGATAATTCTTCCAGAATTATCGGAATTCGTCAGATAAAAAATTCAAAATAAAAGTTGACCTGTTGACGAGCAATGTAATCAGCTTTGATCGAGGCGATGGACTGTAAAAGCTCCGGCAGCGGCAGAAGCTTCGCCACCTCTCTCACCGCCGCCTCCTTCGCCTCCACCCCTAGATCATCCGCCATCATCTTCCTCTCCGCACCGCTCAGCTGCTTAGCCCTAGTCCACCTTCCGTGTAGAAAAACCGGCTAAATTCAAATTTGGTGATTTTCAGTTCGGATCTCGGCTGAATCGTGTAGAAAAAAGAAAGAAAAATAAATGCAATGTCGTCGGAGAGCCGAGATGCGCTAGTGGTGGTGGTCGTCGGAGAATCGGGAGGCACTGGTGGTCGTGGTCGTCGGAGAAGACGCTGGTGGTGGTGGGGAGAAAGAAAAGTCGATGACTGCTGCTAGAGAGAGAGTCCGGAAATATCTGCTGCTAGAGAGAGAGAGGGTTTCTAAGTAATTCTAATAAAAAACCCCCTTATTTTAGGAATGGAGTATAGTTCGGGCTTGTTCGATTATCGATATTAGATTCTATTAACTAAATAGTAGGGAACTAGCTAGATGTACGATTGATAAAATTTGTATTTATTCAATTTCGTTGTAATAATTAAAATCTGCAATTAAATGTTATTATTTCATCAAATTATTAGTACTTAGGAGTGTGGGTCCACAAGTTCTAGTAAATTTTCGCTATTGTTCCGGTAGACGATAGTTCTTAATTTGAAGGAATCAAACTTGTGGGTTTTCAATGAATTTAGGATAAGCGGGTCCATAATGAGTTTGTAGTAGAACCTCAACATTCACAAATCGGAACTTGTTATAAATTTAAACATGTTTTTATTAATAAGTTATAAATTTTACACGGTACTATTTAAAAATTAAAATGAATAACCATGTGAAAATTTTTAAATTAGAACCAACGCGAATAATGCGGTGAGTTTGCGAAATTAATAGAATTTTTATTCCTTGTACAGGAGTTGTCTACATATAAGAAATTAAGAATAACAATAGGTCGTGCTATCACGACCTGGATCGAGTTCCGCGGAATTCGAAAATTCGGTTCAATTTTCCCACACTACGAGTACTGGACATAAAGTAATTTGGGCAAATTGAACCACGTAGAATTGTTGCGTTATCTCATATCTTTGTGTTGGTAATTTGTGTTTGATTATAAGTTACAACGTATATCAAGAACGAATATTCAAAGAATATACATGTACTGGAAAATCCGAGATTTAAAGAAAATGACGTTCCGGAAAGCAAGGCAACATGTGTGATAAGTAGAAATAATAGTATTCGCAAATTCGAATCCATAAGTAAGAGCAAAAAGAACGTGCTCAAGTGAATCGTCCCGGCCTTCTTATTTGATCCAAATCCATCTCAAAATTACTATTAACAATTGCTTCCACCTCATACAACTGCCCCGTTTGCCGTAAAAAAAATGTGATCTTTGGAAAAATTATAGGCAAGTTTTTTCGATATAGATATCACAATATACATAATCGTAACATATCCAACGAAAATATTGGCAATAACAAAATAAAAAAGGAGATATAAGAGGGAGGCTGCAACGGACCAGTCGAGTGTGAACGCTCCGATTCCAAGCTCGTTTAGGCCCCGATTTAGTGGGCGGTGATGGAGTGCATGGGGGAATAGCCAGCATACCCATGCGTGAAATGCTCTACTGTAGTGTTTGGATGATGATGATTTTGAATTTTTCATGTAGAAAAAAAATTAGTTAATCAAATGACTATTTTATATAAACATAACATTACAAATATTCATTAACATTAATTCGAAAGCCTAATGCCATAAATGTAACATCCCGTAATTTGCATTAGATTATTTTAATAATAATTGCTATTATTTTATTAATATATTAAATATGATGATTGTTGGCTGAAATCCCCAATTCATATTATCAGCATAATTGGGGCCGCGTGGATGCTTTAGCAAAGGGTATTAATGATCATGTGATATCATTAGAAATATTGGGAAGTCAGATTTATAGTGGCTCGAATCCGACAAAGAAGACGAGCTGTCCAGAATTCAAATTTCAGAGTTTTCGCTTTTCAGTAAATCGATTAAACGGAGGTCTTAAAGATGGAGTATCGATGATCCGAAGGTACCGTTCGAAACCTTAATAAGTTGGATTTCCAGTGGTGGTGGTTCTCGATTGTTTACACCAGCGGTGGTCACCGGAATTGGCTAGAAATTCAGCTCGCTCGTTGGAACGAAGGGAAGATAAATCTGCTGCCGCACCTGTTTTCAGAGCCGAAATCGAAGGGTTTGGAGTGAGAATTTAGAATCGGTTTCTTCAGGAAACTCGTAGATTACATTGTAAACTATAAGTAAGTGTTCAATTGTATCGAATTAGAGTATTTAATATACATGTTTTAGAGGTCAGAATCCGGTGACAGTAATCTGCCGGAAACAGTGCAGTTTTTAGTATTTTCTTGCGAGACTGTTTTCGATATGTTGGGATCATAATTTGGGTTGTGTGACTTAAGGAAACTTGTAGATTAAACTGTCAGGTTTCATTTGATGTATTATTTGGACAATTATATGATTTGTTATGATTTTTCAAAGAAACTGTGACAGCAAACGAAATTATCCGAAAATCTGGCAGGTTTATGTGTTCATCTTTCGGGATTGTTATTGACGGGTTATATTGTTAATTTGGAATTAAAGTCTTCAGTATACTTGTAGATACAGATGTTATCTTTTACTTTATATATCGTTTAGGTCATTCGGATAAGTACGACGATCGCAATGATTACTTGAATAAAGTGCCGCGAGAAGCAATTCTTAGTATATATTTAAGACATTGACTATGTTATATAGTGGATGGTAATATGGCTATATTAGTATTTGGGATCTTATTTAGTTTAACATTTGCATAGATGTTGAGCGTAGTAAAGCTCCTGTTAAGTTGAAAATTTTCACAAGGAGATAGAAAACTCCATTGTTGCAGAAAAAGGGAGAGTTTGTTACAGAGAGAGAAAGAGAAACTAATTTTATAAAAGTGAATTAATTAACCAACGGTAACAATGAGTTGGTTTATATACATGTCTTTACACGTGTAAAAGAGAAAACGCTATTTACTAAACTAATAACAAAAACGCTAATAGCGTATAACACTTTTATCCGTGTTATAGCAAAAATAAAACTGTAAATATAAGTATTCCAACATCCCCTCAAGATGGAACTGGAGAATAAATGTTCTTCAAGGCCATCTTGGACAACAAGTGAGAAAAAAGAGGAAATGGCAGTGCTTTGGTAAAAATATCAGCAATTTGATCGCGACTAGGCACGGGCATAAGTCTGACAATACCACGAGTAACTTGTTTCCGGATGAAGTGGAAGTCGATCTCAATGTGTTTCGTGCGTTCGTGAAAAGTGGGAATGGAGGCAATATGAACTGCAGCTAAATTGTCACAGAAGACCAAGTTGGAATCAACTGAAATCTGAAAATCTTGAAGGATTTGATTAATCCAAACCAATTCACTGGACAAGGATGCTAAGGCTCTATATTCAGATTCAGCTGAGGATCTGGAGATTGTTGATTGTTTCTTGGCTTTCCAAGAAACCAGAGAATCACCCTAAAAAATACAAAATCCTGAAGTTGATTTTCTTGTATCTGTACAGCTGCCCCAATCAGCATCAGAGAATTCTTTGACCTTTGTGGAAGGATCAGAAGAATAGAAAAGTCCCTGCCCAGGAGCAGCGCGCTTTGAGGTATCTGAGCAAATGATGAGCAGCTTGAAGATGAGTTGACCTTGGTTTGGAAACAAAATGGCTTAACATGTGAGTGGCAAAAGCAATGTCTGGTCTGATAATGGTCAAGTAGAGAAATTTTCCAATGAGCCTTCTATAACTTGTAGAGTCTGGAAGAAGATCACCATCATCCATGGGAAGAAGCACTGGTTTGGAACCTAAAAAACTTGTCTCTTCAAGCAAGTTTAGTGTGTATTGTCTTTGAGAGACAATAATACCAGAAGTGTTTCTAGCAATCTTCAATCCAAGAAAATATTTCATCTTACCAAGATCTTTAAGTTTGAAAACCATATAAAGTTGTGCTTTAACAGACTCAATCTCAGCAGAATTAGGGCCAGCAATGATCATATCATCAACATATAAAATGAGAGCTAAGAAAGAAGTACCTGAACCTCGAGTGAAGAGAGAATAATCAGATTGAGACTGAGTGAAACCAAGAGCAGTGATAGCATCTGTAAATTTCTGATTCCATTGTCTGGAAGCTTGCTTGAGGCCATACAAAGACTTTTGTAATCGACATACTAATTTAGTGCCAGAAGTGTGAGGAATTTTGGATTCATAACCTTGAGGCAGATCCTTATAGACTTCTTCATGTAAATCTCCATTGAGAAAAGCATTGTTAACATCTAACTGGTGGAGCTCCCACTGAAACTGGGCAGCTAAAGCTAAAAGAATCTTGACAGAAACAAGTTTAGCAACAGGTGAAAAAGTCTCAGTGTAATCTACCCCTTCTTGTTGAGTAAAAACCCTTGCAACTAAACGAGGCTTGTACCTATCAATAGTACCATCTTGCTTTCGTTTCAATGTGTACACCCATTTACAACTAATGGAATGTTTATCAGAGGGCAAAGAAACAACTTGCCAAGTATTATTGGCTTCAAGAGCCTGAATTTCCTCAGCCATGGCTTGAATCCAAGAAGGATTCTGAATGGCATGCTTGTAGCAGCAAGGTTCTGTGTCAGCAGAGATGTTGGAAGTATATGCAAAGAAAGAATCAGAAAGATTGGAATAACCAAGAACACTAGAAATAGGATATTTGGAAGTAGAAGGAAGCTTGGATTTGACTTGAAAATCAGAAAGATAGGCAGGCATTTTTATATGCCTGGAAGACTTTCTAACAAGAGGTGGTGAAGAAACAGAAACTGGAAGAGATGAGGGAACAATAATAGGATGATATGACTCATAAGACACAGAGGTAGAAGAATGATCAAAAGAAGGCAAAACAAATTCATCACTATCCAAATAAAACTGAGTGGCAGCAAAAGGAAAAAATATTCTCATGAAAAATAACATCTCTGGAAATGAAAACTTCTTGAGAGTTGATATCTAACAACTTATAACCTTTAATACCTGGGGGATAACCAAGAAAAATGCAAAGCCTTGCTCTAGAATCAAACTTTGTCCTACCAGCAGCTAAAGTCCCTGCAAAAGCTAAACAACCAAACACTTTGAAAGTATCATAATTCACATAAGTGGTGGGATATATCATAGAAAATGGAGTACAAGTACTGAGGTTATGTGCTGAAACTCTATTGATTAGAAAAACAACTGTCAAAACACACTCAGACCAAAATTTAATGGGCACCTTGGATTGAAAATTAAAGCAAGGCTCGGGCAACATTTAAAATGTGTTGGTGTTTCCTTTCCACCACTGAATTTTGTTGAGATGTTTGAACACAAGAAAATTGGTGTAAAACCCCATGTTGAGCAAAAAAAGATTTAAAAGACAATTCATTAGCATTATCAGACCTGAAAACCTTAATAGTTTTGCCAAACTGAGTTTGAACCCAAGCAAAAAACTGAGGAATAATAGCAAGAACATCAGACTTGTTTCTCAATAAATGAATCCAGGTGAACTTGGAAAAATCATCCACAATAGTCACAAAGTATTTAAAACCATCATAAGAAGCCACTTTATAAGGTCCCCATATATCACAATGTATCAAATCAAAAGGAGCATGGACTGAGAAGAACTTACATGGAATGGCAACCTTTTAAACTTGGCCAAAGTACAAACATGGCAACATGTAGAATTCAATACAGTAGGCAAAGAAATACAGTCTTTCAAAATAGCTAGTTTGGAAAAAGGAAGATGACCAAGCCTATTATGCCAGGTCTGAGAAGAAACTGAAACTTTATTACAAGAAATTTGAGTAGATGAACAAGAAGCAGACAAAACAGGCTCCAAGATATATAAGCCTTGCAATCTTTTATCCATACCAATCACTTGCATCAGCTTGTCCTGAATCACAAATGATTGAAACCCAAAAGTGACAAACTCATGAGGTTTAGATAAAAGAGCACTAACAGAAAGCAAATTGAATCGAAACTCACGGACATAAAAAACATTATGCAAGAAAAGTGAAGGAGATAACTGAACATCACCTACAAAAGCCATATGCAAACCTGACTTATCCGGCATAATAACCTTAGTATTATGAGCAGGAACAAGATGCAAAAACAGAGACCTATTATTAGGGGTGTGCACGGGTCGGTACGGTTCGGTTTTTGCAATAAACCAAACACGTACCGATAATATCGGTTTTTCATATTTTAAAACCGTGTATGTCGGTTTTTTTTTGGTTCGGTACGAATCGGTTTTTCGGTTTTCGGTAAACGGTATCGGTATCAATTCGGTTTATTTTCGATTTCGGTTTCATTATCGGTTCGAATCGGTTCGGTATAAAACCGATGTTTGATTAACGGTGAATTTGGACTTGTATCACATTTCTTTGAGAAAATTAACAAGTAACAATCCAAAATTAACTAATAAAATAAATTTACTGTCATTAGAAAAATAAAAATAAAAATATAACCCTACTGCCATAAAAAAAATGAAATTACAACTAATAAACCTAAATGTCATTAATTTCATCTTCAAAAAAATAAACTTGTTGCCCCATCAAAGAAGTCCAACTACATCAAAAGATTAAGTATCTGAATGTGGCCACATTGATTACCAAAAAAACTTACCCATTTTTACTATCTATCAAACCACGTCGTTTTGTATTCCCAAATCGGTTCGGTTCGGTAAATCGGTTCGGCAAAAAAAAAAATCTCCATACACATACCGATTTTTTCGGTTTTTCAAAAAATATTTACCGTGTATGCGGTTTTAAGTCGGGACGGTGTATATCGGCTCGGTTTTTTCGGTTTTCGGTTCGGTTTTTATGCTCACCCCTACCTATTATTGCATATGTGCTTAGAAGCACCTGAATCAACAACCCAATGAAAAGGCATAACCATGGGATTCATGATGGCATTAGCATAAATGGTACCTGTGACACAAGAGATGTGAGAGTCATCCTGTGATGGAACAGCAGAAGAAGGAACTGAGCTAGATTGTTGAGCCATCTGCTGGGAAACATAAGCTAAAATCTGCTGACATTGAGCTGCTGTCATGGTTGAATGCTCCTGAGAAGATGATGCTTCACCCTGAATATCAAGAGGAGAATTAGAAGTGGAAATTTGATTAATGCCAAATCTACCTGAGAGAGCAGCCAATCTTGGCCGAGGCTTGAAACCAGAGGATTGATATCCAGGTGGAAAACCATGAATCTTGTAGCACTTGTCCATTGTGTGACCATACTTATTAAAGTGAGTGCAAAAACCTCTGCCATGCTTTTTATCACCAGCATGATAATACTGATTGTTCTGATGAGGAACTGGAGCAGAAGGTCTGGAAAATTGTGAAACCGGAGCACCTCTTACAGCAAAGGTGAGAGAATTATGCCCTTCAATACTCTGCCCAACAGATCTCTGTCGCTCTTCTTGAGAAACTAAGGCAAAAACTTTGTTAATGTGTGGCAGAGGATCCATAAGAAGAATCTAACCTCGAGTCTGAGAGAATGACTCATTTAGCCCCATAAGAAAAGCCATAACATGCTCTTGATTATAGTAATCAACCAACAAACCACAAGTACAATTCGGGCGAAAATTTACCAATTCATCCCAAATTGCCTTCATCTTCGTAAAATAAACATTGACAGAGAAGTGTTCTTGCCGGAGATTGGCCAATTCACGTCGTAATTGAAAAATTCTGGGGCCATTGGTTTGAGAAAACCGCACATTCAAATCATTCCAAATTTCACGAGCATTTTTACAATACATCACACTAGCTTGAATGTCCTTAGAAATAGCATTTAAAATCCATGACATAACCATACCATTATTGCGAACCCAGGCGTTATGAAGAACAGGATCATCCTCAGGGGGTTCAACAATGGATCCATCCACAAAACCTAGCTTGTTCTTCACAGTAAAAGATAAAACCATCGCACGACTCTAAGAGGCAAAGTTATCTTCAGAGAGAGCTTGCGAAACAAGAACGAGACCAGGTCCATCAGAAGGATGTAAAAAATACGAACTCGAAACATCTTAGATTTGGGCGCGAGTTGTACGATTCGCCATTAGAACGAAATTGCGGAAAATCAACAGGAATCGAGAACGAGAACGAACAAAATAGAACGGAAGCAAAGAAGTACCGTAAAAAAATCTCAAACTGATACCATGTTAAGTTGAAGAATTTCACAAGGAGATAGAAAGCTCCATTGTTGCAGAAGGAGAGAGAGTTTTTTACAGAGAGAGAAAGAGAAACTAATTTTATAAAAGTGAATTAATTAACCAACGGTAACAAAGAGAGTTGGTTTATATACATGTCTTTACACGTGTAAAAGAGAAAACGCTATTTACTTAACTAATAACAAAAATGCTAATAGCATATAACACTTTTATCTGTGTTATAGAAAAAATAAAACTGTAAATATAAGTATTCCAACAACTCTCACTCAAGGTTTAAGCTTAAAGATGCTTTTATAGCACTAGCGCTGGAATCCAGGTGAGAAACTATGACTCCTTATCCGATTTCTTTCATGCGCTTAATATCTCCTTTGTTTGAACCAAATATATTCTCCATATTGAATCCTTTGATGCATTGATTATATTTTTCTTGCAATATGATCCTTAATGTTCTGCAAGCATATTCATTTCCTTGGCTCGAACTTGGAACCTTGATCATGTTTCTTGAAATCTTGAACTTGTCATTTCTCTTGGTTGCTATGTTCACGGCTAATTCTTATACTTGATTCCTTGGCCTGGATATTTTCCTTGAACTCGATATTGGACTATATTTATTCTCAAAATCTTGTCTTGAATGCTTTCCGAGAATGAATATTTCGTTGGCTCGAACTTGAACCTCGTGTTTATTGAATTCATTGAGATCTTGATATACTCGTTCTTGGAATCCGATATTGAACTTATTGTTCTTCTTGACTTTCATATTCACGAATATTCTCTCCTTGGCTTGAACTGAATTCTCTAACATGTTTATTCTCGAACATGTTCATTTTCCTGAGACTTGATGTTCGATTATCATGATCGTGACTTATCTTGTGAATGATTGACTTGATTCTTGAAATGAATGACTTGATATTCCTAAAATGAATGATATTGATTCTTGAATCTAATTTCCCCACCCTTGAGGACGCTCTTGGGGGAGCTGGGCCCTAGGACCATTTCGTCAAGACGATCGGGCAGTATTGGGCTGACGATGACTGGTCTTCCGGATGGTACCTCCTGATGGTTCGGACTCACGTTCGTTTGGAGTTAAACGTTTCTGAGCCGGATCGACACGTTGCGGTCGTGCCTCTTTGCTTGTTTCCGACCGAGTGGCCACTTGGGACGGGGTGGAGGGATAAGAATGTGATATGATTTTATTTGTTGGGAGTTACAAGGTTGGAGACCCCACCAAATATTGAAGTCAAGCCGTACATGTTACACTCTTGTAGATGTTACACTTCTGTTAATGAAATTCTTGTAAAGTCTCTCGTTATATGTTTTTTGCTGTTGATTCTCATCATACTCATGGATCATATGTTTTTCACTGAGTCATTCGGACTTATTCGTTTCTCCTTTTCTGATATTAATGCGCAAAAAGACTTATACCTAAATTTTCATACCAAGTGTTAAAGCTCGTGTATGCCTCCGATTAGTCTCGTCGAGAGGTATCTCTAATGATGCTCCGTATAGGAGTCCTTTGATCGAGAATTTTGTAATAGAGTAAGTGGTGTCGAAGTCGACTTGTAATAGAACCTCCTTTTGTAAACACGATGGTATAAATATTGCGGTTTAACATTTTGATCCTAGAAATTTTGAGGAGCATATTTGGGGTCATTGAATGTACTGCATGTTGAGTGGTGTTCCGCCACGAGGTGTCTGCTACTCGGGGCGGGCGCTACACATAAATGTTCAGGAATTAGATTAAGAAGGTAATGATTGAATTGAAATGCTAAATCCTGCACAAGAATTACCAAATTCTACATACAATTAAAATATGGGATTGTAGGGCGTGCTAAATTCCACACTAAAATTTACTAAATACTTCACATAACACCGAACTGTATCTTGTCAAAAACGAAAATGAAAAAAAGAGCACATAACACCGAACTGTATCTTGTCAAAAACAAAAAAGAAAAAGAGTACAATTTAGACGAAAACTCAAACAACCACAACAACAAAAATAAAGTGAAAAAAAATAAAGTGTACCAAAAATAAAGTGAAAAAAAAATTAAAAAAATTAGATAGTGTACTAGTTAGGGGTGTGCACGGGTCGGTATGGCTTAGTTTTTGCAATAAACTAAACACGTACCGATAATATCAGTTTTTCATATTTTAAGAACCGAACGTGTCGGTTTTTTTTCGGTTCGGTGGTAATTTATTTTTTGGTTTTCGGTTAACGATTTCGGTATCATTTCAGTTTATTTTTCGGTTTCCGTTTCGTCTATCGGTTCGAATCAGTTCGGCATAAAATAGATATTTGATTAACAGTGAATTCGGGCTTTTATTACATTTGTTTGAGAAAATTAACAAATAACAACCCAAAATTAGCTAATAAAAAACATGTCACATGGAGACGTTCGAAGGATAGAGGCGCGTCATGGAGACGTTCGAAGGATAGAGGCGCGTTAGGGGAAGACGGTAAATATTTATACTATATATCAAAACGACGTTGTTTTGTATAAATCGATTAGGTTCAGGTAATCGGTTCGGTAATTTTTTTATTCTCCATACGCAAACCGATATTTTAGGTTATTCAAAAAGAATTTACCGTATATGCGGTTTTAAGTCGGGACGGTGCATATCGGCTCGATTTTTTCAATTTTCGGTTCGCTTTTTCAGTTTCTCGATTTTTTTTCTCACCCCTAGTACCAGTACGAATTTGGGGAATTTTGAAGGGGCTATTCATAGGACCCCATTAGATAGCTCTAAAGTGAGATAATATCCGGAGCAACATTTCGAACAATCGAAACTACAGAAGCATTACCGTTAACGAACCAAAACAAATTGTGGACAAACATAATCAAAATAACATGCACACTGCTCATTCTTTACACCGAAATTTCTCTAATACGGTGAAAACGAGGAATTAATGCCACCATGCCTTCGGGTCCTTAATCATAACTAATGAACGGCATAAAGAGACGCCAACATAAAAATAATAACAAAAAGTAAGCAATAGACAAAAAGTATATATAGCTCTTATCATACACCATGAGACATGCAAAGAATTATTACTAATGAAATAAATAACATAAATATAATGAACAACTAATGGCCCCCTAAATATTCGATCGGTAGTTTTTCATATCCATAACAGTAGTTGTGCCGAAAAGTATATATCGTCGATGTTACGGACGTAAACCTCGTTCAAATAGCTAGCGTGTGGTACTAAGCCATGAATTAATGTCCTAAAATTAATGCCCCTCGCAATTATTTGATCTCCGCCCTTTGCTATTATGCTAAGTCACCATCACTCGAAAGTCACCATCCCTCGAAAATGTGCCAAAAACACTGGAGAATACTAAGAATACTTTATTGAATGAATTCTTGGATGGTTACAAATGGATAAAGCTACCCGTATTTATACAACTCATTCTTTCAACGGAGGGTGGTGATCATCTTGATCTAAAGGCTAATATTAACTCCAACGATCTGTTACCAAATATATACAAAGGAAGACCATCTAAGGTCATTTACATTAATGAGAGGATTCTAGAAGATCTTTTATAATGTTAAGATTAACTCCTACGTATCTGCTCTTGGGCCTAGTTGGTCTCCCTTCGTCTTGGACTCACTTGATGGGTTAACTGTAACCCCTTGGTTCCAAAGCAAAATGAGCAACCCGTGACACCGAGTTGTATCCTATCAAAAACGAAAAAGAAAAAAAAAACAGTACAAGGAAACTCAATCAACAACAAAAATAAAATGAAATAAATTAAATAATCAAATTAAATAGTGTACCAGTAAGAGTCTGCGTCTGTGTTAAAATTTTGATGAGGTTATCAATAGTAGCATTACCACTAACGAACCAAAATAAATTGCAGTTAAACATGACCACAATAACATGCGCACGACTCATTCTTTGCACCGAAGTTTCTCCAATACAATGAAAACGAGGAATTAACGCCACCATGCCTTCGAGTCTCCAATCATATTTATTCAGGGACATACCGACACACTAGCATAAAAACAATGATAAAAAGTAAACAATAGATAAAAGTATTTATAGCTCTTATGAAGAAAAATGAGACATGCAAAGAATTATTGCCACTGAAATAAATAACATAAATATATATACACTAACGCAGAAAATGAGACATGTAAAAAACTACAAAATACAATAATCAACTAGTAATTATAGTAATCAATTACAAAATTTTATTAAATAATCAACTATGTTTTATTAGATAATCAATTATAATTTTAACGTACATACAATTGAAAAAACTATTTATTATAACAAAAACAACTATACAAAAATCATAATCAACTACAAAATCACCGATATCAACTACAAAAATCACTGAATTCAACTACAAAATCATCGAAACCAACTAAAAATTATCAAAAAACCAACTACAAATTCGCCATCTTGTATCGCACTCGACCAAACCTCCGTTGATTACTATAGAACAAACCATGTCGAGTACGGAGAGCAAATTCAAACTCTGCTACGAAGAAATGATCAACTAATTAACAAAATAAATGTAAAACATTACGTATAACATAAACTTCCTCCCATAAATTAATTCCCGGTTCACAGACTCACCTGTTACGTTGTATCGGAAACACTGGACAATTTCAAAGAATCAAAATTCCGTTTGAACATATCGGATTACAAGTCAAACCTTCGCCGAGAGGATCTTCTAGTTCAAAACGTTCGATATCTCAAAAAAAGTGTTGAGTGAATATCGTGATTGAGATCGTGTTAATGCGGTTATGGAAAATTTCAAATGCGTGAATTGTCATATATGTCTTATAAGGGTAGAACAGGAATATCAATAGCATTAGGATTTAAGATAATTATAAAAGTGGGAAAATTACAGTTTATGTCCCTATACTTTACCACTAAAACGATTTATGTAACTTTTTCATCCACGAAATATGTCTTCAAACTTGCCACTTTTCAACAGTTTATGTTCTGCCGTCAACTCCGTTAGTCAATTTGGACAAAAATATCACGTGTGGCGCAAGTGATGTCGATCTGGCCGTTAAATACCGATATGACTGATTCACTGATATGGTGTGGCAAAAAAATGACGTGGAGTGACATGTGGTTCTTTCCCTCTATTTCAATTTTAAAATTCTCAATTTCT